CTCCAGCCTCGAACCATTCTTTGGGTGATCTGCATCCCCTCCCATATAATGCCTCAAACGGTGCCATATCAATGTTGGAGTGATAACTATTATTATAAGAGAACTCACACAAAGGTAAGAACTTATCCCAATGTCCTCCAAAATCAATCACACATGTCCTCTACATGTCTTCTAATACTTGAATAGTCCTCTCGGACTGTCTGTCCGTCTGTGGATGGAAAGTTGTACTAAAAGTGAGTTGTGTGCCCAATTTATCATGTAATTTCCTCAAAAACTTGGACGTGAACTGCGTACCACGGTCTGAGATGATGGAAAGGGGCACCTCATGCAACCTCACTATCTCTTTCACATAAACTTTAGCCAATTGTTCAACATTATAATTTATTCTTACCGGAATAAAATGGGCTGACTTAGTCAATCTATCAACCACTACCCAAATAGAATCAAACTTTTCCAAAGTCTTGGGAAGACCAACAACAAAATCCATGGCTATCCTCTCCCACTTCCATTCCGGAATTGGCATTCTTTGAAGCAAACATGCTGGCCTTTGGTGTTCATACTTCACTTGTTGACAATTTTGACACTTAGCCACAAACTCCGCTATATCCTTCTTCATGCCCGACCACCAATAAATTCTATTCAAATCTTGGTACATCTTTGGTCACACCCGGATGAATGGAATATCGCGAACCATGTGATTCTGTCAACAATTTCTGAATCAAGTCATCAACTCGAGGAACACAAATTCTTCCTTTAAAATTGAACAAACCCTCCGCATCAAGAGTGGTTTCTTGTGCCTTACCAATCACAGTCTTCTTTATAAGCTCCTCCAAATTTTCATCCTCAAATTGTTTGGCCTTGATCTCTTCAATGAACATGGCCCTTACTTCAATACTAGCTAACACCCCACCTCTTTCTGAAATGCCCAACTACATGAACTTAGACTCTAAGGTCTGAATTTCCTTAGCCAAAGGTCGCTTGGTTACACTTAAGCAAGCTAAACTACCCATACTTATCGCCTTTCGATTCAAAGCGTCTGCCATTACATTAGCCTTACCCAGATGGTATTGAATGGTGACATCATAATCTTTAAGTAACTCCATCCACCTCTGTTGCCAATCAAGTCATGATTCATGACATTCATCATTCATACTTCCTCATTTACAATTAATGTGATCAATAATGCAACATTCACATACAAACATGTATCATAATGAAGCAAGAACAAACATACATCACACATTCATAGAATCACAGTCATCACCTACCTCGAAACAAGTTTGAAACCCTAAGAAACTTGATCCTTCTATTTTCGGATTCGTTCCGATTGTTCTTGGTCTACAAACAATCGTAATAACACAAAAATCAATAAACAATCACTAATTATCCGAATTACTAACAATCTTATGAACCCTAAATCAAACCCAAGATCCCACTGTCCAAATTAGGGTTTTTTCCACCATAATTTCCAGATCAAAACCTTTCCCCATCGATAATTACCCATTAGATTACGTTTAACGGATTGAAAAACGAATTCGTGGAGTTAAAATGTTACTTTTAGCCTTAAGAATGGTGGAAAACTGCCAAGAATCGCCTGGGTTCGTTCCTTAGCTCTCAAATTCAAAAATTGCAGAATAAAATATTTTTGGGGTTTATTTACGACTTTAAGTCGTGTATGGTCCGCCACAACAGTCCTCACCTCGCTATAGCAGTCCTGCCCTAGCGACAGAAATCACTGCCAAAGCGGCTTGCACGAAACAATGAGCTATTTTAATAATTCCAATACCCCCTTTCACAACACGGCTTCCACCAACGACACTCAGAAACTACCCGTTCACACTAAGATCAATTTCGAGAGTTCTACTCGCCCGAATTCAATTTCGTAAAGTCGTACAGGTTCCTTAACGACTTATCTATCTTCTCATGTGATCGAATTCATAATTGGATCACCCAATTGCTACCAGATTTCCCTAGACTTTGATGGATTTGATTTCGTCCAAATCTGGACTAGGTTGAGAAATCTCAAGTTACTATGAAAAAGTTTTTCGACCCAAAAAATTTTCCCGTTGGCTTTTTTATAACGACGGAACCCGATCGTTACATAAACTATGTGAAGTTTGCTTGCACAACTAATATGCCAAACTTGAGGCAAAGTGTGGACATGAAATTTGCAACTTTTGCATTTGTTTGAAGTGGAATAACTTATACTCCTTCTGTCCCATATTAAATGGACATTTTACTCAAAATATTTGTTCTATATTAATTGTTTACTCACTAAATCATGATATAATGTTTTTTTCTATTTTACCTCTACAATTAATATGCCATTTGAAGTTTAAGCAAATTTTGAAGATCTAAAGTTTCTTTTTTCAAGAGGCTAATTAGGCATAATACATAAATGTGTTTGTTAACTTGGTCTCATTTCACATTTACGCCATCTAACTTTGGATGTGTACAAATAAACACTTAACTTGTATAAAGTTGAACAACTACACACATGAGTCCTACGTGACATAATACACATAGAAAATCATGTAGGATGTCATGTAGGACGTGTGTGTCTATTTGTTTAACTTTATACAAGTTTAAGTGTTTAATTGTGCACACCTAGAGTTAGAGGACATAAATGTGAGTTGAAACCAAGCTAAATGACATATTATGTATTATGCCGACTAATTAATATGAATAAAAGATGAATTAGTAATTGTGATCAATCTATTAATAATTTCTTAATTATCATGTAAAGTAGAAAATGTCGGTCTAATATGGAAAGGAGGGAGTACTATCATGATTTAGAGCCTGTTTGGCATTGCTGTTGGGAGGTCAAAAGTATTTTTTCGATAAAAGCACCTTTTTTGGAAAAAAAAATAGTGTTTGGCAAATTCTCAAAACTACTTTTAAATGGAAGCAAAATCAGTTTTCTGCTGTTGGGAAGAAACTTAAAATTTCTGCTTCTTAAAAAAAGCAGAAGTAGAAAATTATTTTCTTGAAGACTAAAATATTCCTCCCATATATACATATTTACCAATATATCCCTTATTAATTAATTAACATATATCATAAATTTGGTTTTGTTTCATACAGGAATTTAATTTTTATTTTTGTATAATAATTTTTTATTTTATGTTTATATACTATTATTATTTTATATTTTATATATTATTTTACGTCTTATTTTAGAGAATCAGAAATAAATGTAACAACAACATTTTTGTAGGATTAAAAATATGAAGGATTTTATTTATTTTTGTGGTGAATTTTTTGTATATAGTGGTTTAATTTGTGAAATAGTTTTTAAATTTATTTTTCTTTATATTTTGAATTATATTTAAGTCATCATGTTAATATTTTATTAATATTTTGTTTATTTATTTATGTATAATATTGATTGAAAATTTGAATATGCATATTTTCATTTAAAAATTTCTAATAGATATTTAAAATAGTTTCTCTCTATAAAATAATCTTAGTAATAAAAGTATACTTACCATTTTTTCGTAATTTGACTCTCAAAAGCAAAAAATTAGTCAAACACGATCTGCTTATCAAAAACACTTTTCAAATGAATTAGCCAAACATAAATTACTTTTTTTTCAAAAGCAATTTTTAAAAAGTTATTTAAAAAAAGTGTTTCTAAAAATAACCAGTTTTTAACAGTAATGCCAAACAGACTCTTAAATGGGGGTCCAAATTTGGTTATCAGTGCATTCCCTGAATGGTGTCCTTCCTCGTTAGACCATCTCTAACCCACTCTATTTTACTCTCCATTCTCTATATTTGGAGAGTAAAATAGATGTATGGGTCTCCAACCACTCTCTAAAAAGCTAACTGATCTCTATTTATAGAGAGGTGAATAGTAGTTCTCCAAATTTGGAGAACTACTATTCACCTCTCTATTTCACTTTTTCATTATTTTAATATCATTTCTACTATTTGTAACTAACATATTTTTTTTTCTTCATATAATGCTATTAATTAAATTTCTAATATTCGTAGTTCTTTTTAAATATAATACAACATTTTAAAAAATATATTATTTAGTATATACTACTTTCATCCCGAATTAACAATATTTTAATTTTTTTTTCAATTTTCGTCAGTTTAAGAGATAATTTGATATTATTGTTGATTTTCAATTTAAATGATAAAATGAAAATTTTAATTTAAAAATACAATACATGACATAATAATTTAAATACAAGATAACAATACAATACATAACATAATGATTTTTAAAATCACAATAATAATTTAATAATTCAGTAGATCGTTTTCAGATTTAACAATATTCGGAAAAAAAATAGTGTATAATCTAGAGAATTGTTGTGTTTGTGATTGCGGTTGTGCTTGTTGATTTCTTTTTCAATTTTTCGTAGTTGTTCTTTAAAATTTAGTATAAAATATAATTTTATACTAAATAAAGATTTTTTTTAAAAATATTTTTATATTACATGAAAATTATATAAGGTAATTATTTTGAAAAAAGAAAGAATGAGTTTATATTATGAAATAAGAAAATGAAATAGAAATAGAAATAGTAATATAATATTGAGGAGAGAGAGAAAAATTCATTTTTAAGAGTAAAATAAAGAATTGAGTTGGAGTTGGTTGTCTGAAAAAATAGAGAACTCTATATTTGAAGAGTAAAATAGAGTGTAGGGTTGGAAATGCCCCTTACGACATACTCTCTCTGTCCCTAATTACTTGTCCAGTTTTCCTTTTTTAGTTGTCCCTAATTACTTGTCCATTTTGACAAATCAAGAAATAACAAATTATTTTTACCTATTATACCCTCAATCAAATACTTTGAAAAAACTAGAACTTTTTGAAAATCTTAAGTTTTTAATTCATTCCCTTTATAATTAATAGGAATAAAATAATAAACTCACCATGTTAATAATTATTTTTTTAATAAGTGTGTTAATTCAAAAGTGGACAAGCAATTAAAAGGACATAAAAGTTAACATTGTAACGCCACCTTATAAGCCAACGCGCGAAATTTTGCATTTTGATTATCTTTAAAAATGCTAATATTCCATAGAATCATATTTTCAAACACCTGGCGGTCACCATGCTCGCTCCTCTCTATCATCCGTCGGCTCCGCTGCCAGTTCAATGTCTCCAATTGTTTATCTAAGGTTTTTCTCCAAACTCAGTCATCTTCCATCAACAATGTTTTTTGGAGTTGAAAATGTATCATTGTACATGGATGACAAGAAGCAAATGTTGATTTGGGATCTAGGTTATGTGTATTGTGATTATGCTTAGGCAAAGTGTGTGTTTTTCGCACCCACAATTCCTTCTGTCTCCTCTCTGTTGATTACTTTATTTTTCTCTAGTTTCTGTCTACTTATTACTCTTCCCCTCAGCTCTTATCAATCGGTTTTGCTTAGTTATTGTAATTTTCCCTATTTCAGTTCACTGTTGTTGAGAATTTGGTGTTGTGTTTATTGCAGACGTGAACAAGTTGCTAATTTTAGTTGTCCCTTTTGGTACAGTCCTACATTGATGAAGAGTGTAATGACTTTTTACTGTGGTTTGAACACAAGGCAGGGGTGGAGATATCTTCCTTGCTTTTAATTGGAAAGTCCGCTAATGGAAGGTTAAGTTCTATTTGTCTGGCATAGGACATTGTGCATTTTCTATGATAACCATCTGTTTGTATTCTTGTGAATGTTCACACGAAGATGAACAGTTGTGAAACTTTATGTTCTTAAGATTGATTTCTTTTTACCTTCGGGGTGGCCTAGTGGTTTGGGTTTGGGACTTCCAAGCAAGGGGTTTGTCTTCTGGGTCGAGCTCGTCGCACCGGGCTTGCCTAGTGTGGGTTACCTCTCCTATGTGGTTTGCGAGCTATTGCATAGGAGCGGGGTTTTTACCCTGTGCGCACCTAAAGGGTAGCGGCTGCGGGTTTCCTTGTCATCAAAAACAAAAAAAAATGATTTCTTTTACCGTCTTTCACAAAAAGTAAATCCTTGTTTTTCTCGGGAAGGAGTTCAAAATCCTGCTGACCGGGAAAATATGTTGGGTTCATTGTACTGTGTTATGAGACATTCTAATAGCTTTGACGGTTAAGTCAAGTCACTTTCCCTTCTATATGCAGGTCGCTCGTTGCTCGTCACCCTATAAAACCAGGCGATTGCTTGTTGAAGGTTCCTTACAACGTGGTATGTGATTCTTTAACTGGAGGTCTTGCAATCGTTTAATTGGTTCTGTTACTGTATCTGACAGAACTTACATTCTTATTGCAGCAATTGGCCCCTGATAACCTTCCTAGAGGAATCAATGCATTATTAGGAGATAATGTGGGCAATGTTGCTAAAGTTGCCTTGTTGATTTTATATGAGCAAAAGTTGGGCAAGGTACCATGATTTTGCGTGACTTTGGTTCAGATAGTAAGATTAGAGGCCCTGTTGTTTGAGTATTCATGACCTCTGTCCTGCTGTGTTGTTTGCAGAAATCGGAATGGGACCCTTACATTTCTCGTCTTCCCCGGCCTGAAGATATGCATAACACAGTAAATTTCATTGATAATATGTGAACATTTCCTTATTATGAATTCTAGTTTCAGTTCATTTCTCTTTAACACTTCTTCTTCAACTTGGTGGGGGTACACCTAGTTTTCTACCAAAAGATTGGAAGAGGGAATACCCCTCTAAATGAATAAAACCCGGGATGGCATTGTGTCAATAAGAGTCAGGATAAAGGAATTTTTGGATCATTCTACTAAGTTCTAGGGATCCATGGATTTTGAGAGAAGACATTCCATTTCTTTGTGACATCCGAGTCATACTGAGAGGCTGTATTCACTGGAACGAGATTGTGGAGAAGGGGGGAAAATATATGTTTATGTTTGCGAGCAAGGAATCTGATTCCAGAATCATATGTTGGAAAGTTGTTATTTCAGCAAAGTTGATATGAGTTGGTTTAAAATTTGCAGATATTCTGGGATGACAATGAGTTAGAGATGATTCAACAAAGTTCTTTACATCAGAAAACGATTATGCATAAGCTGTTTGTTGAACAAGAATTCTCAACAATTAAGGAGCTTAAAAAGGTATCTATATCTTTGTCAGTTTGTTACTTCACATGTTGAACTTCATTGTAGTTTTACTTGCCTGTGGTAACAGTATCAACATCCAATTTCTCCATTTCAAATCTCGTTAGTGCTATCCTGATATAAATGTTACCCTAACTGATCACTGATCACTGATCAGTAAATGATTATAGTCACTTTATGTACCCTACAACAGTGATGTTGATCTTATCTAGGAATTGTTGAGATACATTTACCATCAAGAAGAAAAAAATGAAGATATCAGACCTTTATTCTCTTATACCAAGATGTTATTATTAGTGATATAAGAAATAAGTTATGGATATTTAGCTGCCGGAGATTTAACCCAAGTCAATTTTTTTCAATAATGGTAACATTTTATTCATCAGCATAAAAACTATAATGGTAGCAATATTTACAAGCTACAACCTTGTGTACTTTACAGGGCTTCCAAAAATTGTAGAATAGATTCTGCATCCTCTACAAAGAAGACTCTTTACACCAAAAATAGAAATTTAAAATACAATTCACTTTAACTACTTGTATGAAGCTACTCCTATCTTCAAAACATTTGTTGTTTCTTTTCCTCTATATGGTTCACCAAATGCAAGATGGAATAATCCTTCAGCACTTCTTCTGTTTGGCATGTTTTCCAGCATAGGTCCAATATCTCAATAGATCACATGCATTTCCTGACATTATACATTTTCAGTTTACCAGGGCCACAAACAGATTCCATAGTTGGGAAGTGAAGATACAGTGAAAGGAAAAGATGGTTGTTGTTTTCAGATTCAACTTTGCATAGAAACATCTAATTTTAACTGCATACCCACTCTCTGTAGATTTTCCTGAGTTAGACAAGTCCTTCTTGCTACTAGCCATGTAAAGCAGTTAACTTTGCAAGGTATCTTGAGCTTTCAAATCGGATTCCATGGCCAGTTGATGTACTGTTGTCCAATATTGGAATAATATGCATATGCCTCTCTGACCGGGAGAACCTTCTTGTTTGTGCCTTCCCTTATCATGGTATCTTCATTATCCTTTGGCGCTTTCAATCCCTCCAAAGCTTGATAGAAATCAGCCACTATCCCCAGTTCCCAGTCATGTAATGCTTTCCTGAAAGTGAGATCCCATTCACGTTGGCTCCATACGTCACTGGTAGTTGCATTATCTTGCAGTAATAACCTAAAGATATCAAGGAACATGTATCTCAAGGGTTCATTTCTTACCCATTTATCAGGCCAACAAGTTTTTCTCATACCATTCCCATGGTAAAATCAGTATTAGCTGCAAAATCTCCCATAAAGCTCTGATGAATTTCCAGTTATCCACCCCAAAGGTTGTGTTGATAGGTTTAGGCACCACACCATTGTCCCAGTTTCCCATATTTTTGTGTTATGACCTCCCTCCACAAGCTATTTTCTTCTTGCCATACCTCCATAACCATTTGGACATTAAGCTCTTGTTATGTAATCTAAAGTTTCTTATTCCCTAGCCTCTTGTTGCTTGTTTGTGATTAGTCTTTTCCATCTCACTAGATTGTTTCCTTTTTTTTTTTGTGTTACCATGCCACAAGATATTTCTCCTAGTAGCATCCAACCTCTTCTCAACGGCTCCACCTTGGAAGGGAGTGGAAATTGAACCACAACATATGTAGGCAACACATCAAACACTGAGTTTATCAAAGTGGTTTTGCCTCCAAGTTACAGAGACTGTGCCTTCCGTCTGGCACAGTTACGAGTATATCATTCCATATCTCCATTGCTTTTGTCTTTGATCTTAGAGCCAATCCCAAATATTTTGTAGGTAATGTTCCCACCTCACACCTTAGGATACCAGCTAAAATAAGAGTTTCTGCACCTTCTTTTACAGGATATACCTTACTCTTCTCCGAATTTATATATAACCCTGAAACAACTTCAAACAAGATCAATACTAATCTATTGAGTCTGACATTCCCTTGGTTAGCTGCACAAAAAATCTATGTGTCATTAGCATACAAGAGATAGGTGATGGCTAAAGCTATTTGTCAATCTGGTGTTTATCTGAAATCCCTTGATCCAACCATTTCTAGTAGCTTTCTCCATCAGGTTGTTTATCCCCCTCCATGGCAATAATGAATCAAAAAGTGGACAAGAGGTCTCCTTGCCTGAGTTCCCTTTAAGATGGAAACAAACCTTCGGGGCTTCAATTGATTTGCATGGAGAAATTGAATCTAGTTATTTCCTGTCAAATCTCATGTCCCTTAGTATATTTGATAGGACTACCTAATTAACATGGTTAAAAGTTTTTTGTATGTCCGTTTTGCATAGTAACCCTGGAACCTGTCCCTTCATTATAGAGTTCACACTCATTTGCAATTAAGGCAACATCCATTAAATGCCTCCATTTAATAAATGCCATCTGTTGTTTGCTTTATGCACCACTTAAATATTTTAGCCAAAAGCTTTGGGATTATCTTTTACTCACTGCCAATTAAGCTAATAGGTTTGAATCCTTTAGCTCTTTGGCCTCACTCTTCTTAGGATCAGTACCACATGCAGCATTGAAGCTATGAGAAATATCGGTGAAAATATTATTGAATTGTGGTTCTACATTATTACATTGAGACCTTATTTATAGATTAGGGGTGTTCATGGTTCGGTTTGGATCGGTTATTAGTTAAAACCAAAACCAAACGAAAAAAATTATTGCCGGTTTGGTTCGATTTTTTTGGTTTTTCCAGTTTGAAAGTAATAAATCTTTGAGGTCACTGGTATTCATATCGAGGTCCCTTGGCCGAGAAGGTGGCTAGGTCTGAGCAATCTCTCAATTTTCTATTCCATGGTGTCCACTTTCTCACAAACATTACTAATCGATTTGGACAATGGTTCATTACTTTTCTGAATGCTCTATGGATGAGAGATGGTAAAGCACTGGCCAGCTTCGTTAGTTGATTGCTATGATCATTGGCCATGGTTGCTAGTGTGGCAAGGTCTTGAGTAGAGGGTCTCATTTCTGAAGTGGATGGTAAACTGGGTTGAGATGCAGATGTTTCTCCTCTTTGTTGACTTGTTGGAGCGTATCTCTCCCGATTCTTTGTCATGGTATAATGGTAATCGTTGGCCTAAATTTAACAAGTTTGTCTACCCTTTTTATGTATGTGCACCCTGTATCTACACACAAAAATGTGATCATTGTTGGGTAAGGTAGAGCTCCTTTAGATTTCTGTGTTGCCCGCTTTATTTTTTCAGCCATGATTTGTGTTCATACACCTCCATTCCTGTCATGAGGTGAGCTATCAAAACGACAGCTTCTATAGATACGCTCACAGAGTTTCTTGAAGGCCTTAGACTTCTTTGCACAAAGTCAAACCATACTTTCACTTGTGCCTATTTCGGAGAATCTATTGCAATGACTTCAACTACCCACACATATTGACTTCAAATTGATGTTTAGTGGTAGGTTGAGCTGCTTTTTGGAACTGGTATACATGACCACCAAAAAAAGTAGAGTGATCCAGGGGTAATAGGAATTTCCTTTCCTCTTACAACCACAAATGTTATGGATGGGCTTGTCTCTATATCCTCCTGTTGCCCTTGCTTGTCCATTTTGGCTCAATATGACGCATAGAACTCCCATACCATTTCCGGAAAATATAGATCCCGAGGAGTTAAGATGGTGATCCACTCATGTTCCTCAGTTTGAGTTGATATGTTGTGGAGGTCTTCATTAAATGACTCAACATCCAGAACAACAACCTGCAAGATGCCTGTTGGTTCCTGCAGGATGTCTGTTCCTTCACCGGTGTGCTTCAGTGCTATTTTTGGGGCTTCAAATCCATCAAACTTGCTATTTGCAAGGAATGCCTGCATCCAAGAGAACTAGGGCCTAAAACCCCTTCAATTAGCATTAAAACAAGACAATAATTTATGAATTTGGGTCTAATAAGTCGGTAAAATACCAACTCATCAAAGGTTTAGCCTCTTTTCAGTATGGGTGATAGGGTGTGCTTCTTTATTTCTAGTGATAAGTCTTTTGAATTAATCAACATTAGTGAAGGTCCATTCAGGTGGTTCTTGTTCAAACAGTTCAACAGTCTGTTTATAAGTAAGATCAAGATCGACGAAGACTTTCTCAGGTGGGTCTGCAGTGTAATGAAGTTAGCATGCAGAGGTGTCGGGGACCTCTACAGCAGATAGGGTCGTCTGAAGAAGGGGATTTATTTAGAGTTTATTTGAATCTTGTTTGCCGATGACACACTGATCTTCTGTGAAGCTGAGAAATCCTAAGTGCAATATCTTAACCTCGCTCTTATGCTTGTTCAAGCCATGCCAGGACTCCACATTAACATGTCTAAAAGTATTATCTACCCTGTTAATGAGGTCCCAGACTTGGAGAATTTGGCAGACATCATGTGCAACTCAATTAGATCTTTTCCCACTGCCTATTTGGGGTTACCACTGGGTGCTAGTTATAAATCAATTGGGGCTTGGAGTGGTATTGTGTCAAAGTTTGAAAGAAGATTGACTTCCTGGCAACAACAATATTCCTCACTAGGGGACAGGGTAACTGATACGAATGCTCCTTTAAGGACTTACTTTAGAAGAAAATATAGGCGAGCAACATGTGGAGATAATCTATCTTAGTTTATCTGTCGTACTTTCTTTGTATTAAGTAGGATAGAATATATAAGCAGTAATTATCTATAGTAGTTATAAAGTAGAAGTTATTACCAGCCGGTAGCAACATTTATTTACAACAGTAACTGTTTCTATCTCTATCTGTTAGGAGTTATTTATGTTTACTATAAATATTTGTATTGTAGGAGAATTCTGGGAAGGAAAAATATTATTATGTCTTTATATCTGGAGATTTGTCCACTCCATACGGACATTGTTATTGGTTAATGCAGTGTTTAAGATTCTTTCACTTTATTTACCCACTAAAGTTTCATTTTCATTTCGTTTCATATTAGTTTCTATCATTTTGGTATCAGAGCAGACTGATCCAATATGGTC